TCAGACAGAGTATTTTATCACTTGAAGAAGTGAGGGCTTTTACACTCACAACAATATGGGTTCTAGCTGGACATGTTGACCTGCCGAGCATTACATCCAGTGATCAACCAGGTTTTCCAGAATCGCCAGCAAGGCCTTCACACAATGCTCATTTTGATGGATGTCGTGGGGGGATTCGACAACATCTGGTGGTCATCCATAGTGGGGGGATGAACTGCAGAAGGTTAACCTGCCGACCACCCTCTATTCGCTTGTCAGGAGTTTCCTGAGCAACTGCTCAGTTGAGTACTATAACCCAATTGCGAGGTTTGTTAGAAGACTGCAGAGGGCTTGTCCCCAGGGGTCATGCATAAGGCCCCCCCTCCTTCCAGACAATGTCCAGATGCAGGCCTACACAGACGATCTGTTGCTAATAGTTGCTGGAGTTAGTAGATGCAAAATAGAGATTTGTGGCAATAAAAGCAATAGAACAACTCGTTCGCTGGGGAGAGCTGCATAAGCTGTCCCTTAGTCCTGAGAAATCAGAGGTCCTGATGGTGGCCTGGACTGGACTGCTGCCAGCTAAAACACACACACCAACAAAAATAATATTGGAGTAGCCCAAGACATAGCCAAACATTGCAGCGCTACAGGACTAGTGGAAATTTAAATTTGCCGACTGGAAAGCTTTCAGTTGATCAACATTCAGATAATCAATGCTCTACTGTATATAGATACACAGAACAGAATACAGATTGCAGGTGAAGCCGGCTGAATGGCAACCCTAATGTTACCCTATCTTCCCTAAAATGTGGACAATTAGCATTAACAGAGTACAATCTTACTCTCTTACTATACAAAAGAAAAGTCTGCCGTATAAGACATCATATTGTATATGGGACGTTGCATACTCTCTTCTTTGTCAACATGAAAGCTTCTTGTAAACTAATACTAAATTGTTTATATCATAATTTAAAAATTCTTTTATCTTCAACTGAAACAAGTAATGAATTTTCTTATTTATTAAAGGTGAAAGAATTGTTTTAAGAATTGGAAATTTGACAAGATTTGCTCAATTCTGATTACTGGAAAACATCCAATTTTTCTGATTCATTATCCCATCACTAGAAATAAGTAGCAAATTTACAAGAGAGTTAGGAAAAGAAAACCCAAGAATTGCATAGATACTATGGCAGTAGGAACTAGAATAGAGAGAAATGTCTAGAGTTTGGAAAAAAAGTGCAACAAGTGCCTGAAGACAAATCATTTTGCAAAGTGTTGTAAAGTTCTGAAATCACCAATAACTAAGAAGAGTCATCGAATATAGATTTAATGAACATTTACTCAATTAGCAATGATCAGCAAGTAATGAAAACAATTAGGATCAAGAAAAGTAGATGAGTAGTGCAATTTCAGGTTGATAGTGGTGCTTCAGGTAATAAGTTAATTTGTCAGTAAAAGATTACATAACAGCAAAAGGAGATAGGAAGCTTTCGTAACTGAGACTAACAGATATCATCATTAGAATGTATGGGGAACACTGTTATAAAGCACTTGGTTGAAGAAAGTTCATAGCTGACACAGACAGGAATATATCCTGTCATAGTAAGCATAACACAATGTGAAGGGCAACCACTTCTAGACCTGGAATCAAGTCAAGAAATAAAACTTGATAAAAAGAATCAATTGCAATGGGCAAAATGGGCAAATTAATAAAATATTCTCATTGAAATCACTAATAAAAGCTAAGTTGGATAGAATATATCCAAGTGAATTTAAAGAAATTGGAAAATAATGGGAAGCAGAAAGTATAATCGAATAAAAAGGTAAAGCCTGCAATACATTCTTCAAGAACATTTCCTATTTCTCTAAAGCCCTAGTCACACTATGCGATTTCCAGCAGCGCAGTCGACTGCAACCGTGATGGCTGTTCCCGTTAACTAGTAATCCCCCCTCAAAAACTGGCATGACTGCAACCACAACTAGAAACAAAAAGTTTGTTGTACTTGAGACAATTGCAAATGCGCATCCAATCAACAAACGCCTCTGTGCCATGTCATACAGTGAAAACATTGAAAATAGTTCATCATCATGGCTGATAGTTAGAGGATTAATACTTTTACAGAATCGAGATTGATCAAGCTTATTCAGGCTCACGAATACCTGTGGAATTTTAATTCTTTATTTTATCGAAGATTTTATCTTTTCGTGTATTCTCGCCAGCTCTATCAAAATAACTGCCTTTTTTCTTTTATTCATTCCAGAAAAGGAACTGCTTGCTATTTTAATAAGAAAAGTGGCCAAAATTCTGTAAATACTCTGAAGTAGAACGTAAAATGTCAGCAAACTCACGAAAGTAGTCAAAAACAAGCTACTGTAATTGTATTGGTTTATTATAGGGTCTCATGTTTCCAAATGAACAATGTCTGACCACGAGAAGATGCACGCGACTCGCACTTGCTGCAGTTGCCTGCACGGCTAGAAATTGCATAATGTGACCAGGGCTTAAGAGAGAGGTTAAAAAAACAACTATGAGTTAGAAATAAATGACATTATAGTGAAAGTCACTAAGCCAACAGTGTATCTCCAACATAATAACTGAGAATATGCCTTGATCCCTGAAACTTAACATTAATTATACTTTTTAAATATCTGAAGACAAAGTCCTGCCAAAAACAGAACCACCATTTATTATCTTCGTATTCTAGACTACATTCTTGGTGACTGTACTTTTTGTTGTTTATACCTAAAAATGTATCAAATAAGAACAAAATTACCTTTATCAGAAGCCAAACTTGAAAAAATTGGTAGTAAATTTGGTGTTATGTCATATTCTGAGGATGAAATTACATATGAAAGTGAATGTGATAATGAAAATGTTGACAGAATTTATATTGCAAGAAAACCTGTCTGAATCAGAAGAATCAAGTGATATTGAACCTAATTCTGATGAGGAAATTATTGAAAATGAAAACCTGAAGGACATCCTGAAATAGTCCAGTAAACCTATAGACTTCTAAGTGTCTTGTGAGAAATATTTAATTTATACATAAATGCCAAAATAAAGGATATTATGCACCTTTACACTAATCAGGAAGCTGAAAGAGTTAACTCTTCGTGGAATAAAAATCAACCAACTTTACAAAAAAAATTTGGAAACTATTATATCATGTTGAAATGGATTGTTTTGTATGAATTCTTAAGCTTAGTTCACACTGAGTGCAATTTGCTGGCGAAAGTGAAAAACAGAGCATCAAACGAGTCATGTTTGACCGATTATTTGCTCTGTTTTTCGCTTTCTCCAGCAAATCGTGCTCAGTGTAAACTAAGCTTTATCAAGGCAGATGCTTTGAGTTGCAAAAGGGAATCAGAGAAATGTGGAGCTTTGTATTAATTATAACAAAACTGTATATAATTGTTGTATTCAATATTATATATTCAAATTGTTTTATATATGTTTGTTGTTTCAAATTTTTAAAAATAATTTTTCAAACATGTTCATTTTGTTCTACGCATTCTATTTTGGAATTTTACTGGTTAAAAATCTAGGTGCGGTACGGTCAAAAACGTTTGTTTTCATTAAAATTTGTGTTACTGGACTTTAAAGGTTCTTGATTGTGTGTATAATAAAATTCATAGCAACATAAAAAGCACTATAGTAGATTATAATATATTGAAATTCCTGGCCATTTTGATGATGATACAGTCAAACCAAGAAAATGTCAAAACAGTCAATGGCTGCAGAAGATAAATAAAAAATGTAGATTTATGTATCAGCCTTATCTTAACTATCCAATAGGTGAAATTCAAATTTGCCATGTTAATTTGAAGAAAATACCATAATACAGAATTCTTGATTTTAAGTTTATTTTTTGACTTTAGAAAATAATAAAAATAAATATACAAAAATATTTATTTTAATTATTTTTATATCCATCTGAAGTATGATGAAATTAGAAGTTACTTAGATATTTACATTTAAAGTAATGTAGTACAGGTAACCCGTGTATAACATAACACTTCTATAGCACAGATTCACTCTAACAAGGTTTGAGAATTGGGAACATCCCTCATATAACATGGTGATTTTATAGCACGGGTTCACTCTAACATGGTTCGGAAATTAGGTAAAACCCTCGTACAACATGAAATGTAATAAAGGGTGCGTCTTTTATACTTCTGTGTAACTCCGCGTGAGCATTCTAATTGTTTTTGTGGCTACTTTGAATGCTCTTTCAACAATAATCCATTTAATGGTTAAATTTTACAATTGGGACCCTTCTTTTGCCTCTAAAAGCTCATTTTAGAATTATAGATTCCTCCATCACGATACTATCGATAGTGCAGGCACCACCATCTTTCTTCCACTGTCGTTCCTAAATGCCTACAAACAGCAGCTCACTCTCGTTGCAGAGCAACTGCTATTAATGAACGCACCCAAAAACTGTTACAAGTTGATGATGCTCAAGCTGAGATCATCATATAGGATGAATAATCCTCTGGTAAAATATTTACTTAAATAATAAATAAGTATTTTACCTATGAAAAAAAAATGAATAATAAATCAGATTTAAATAAGGATTTAACAACATGTTTTTTAATTTTTGGAACCTAAGCCTAATTTTTGGAACATAACTCCCATGTTATACGGGGGTTACCTGTACCTAAAAGTAACTTCTACCCAATTTTTTAGTATTGGATTAAAGATATCTAAGACAAGTTTATTAACTTTAACACATTATTGTGACTTCTAATATATACGCTATTGTATATATTCATGCTCTACTTTGCTGACTTCTTTGCTAAAAAAAAAATATAAATTAAAAAAATTTAATGAATTTGTAATTAATGTATTGTATTGATATGATCGATAATTATTTTATATAAACTGAAACTTAAAATCGCTATGTGAAGTAATAATGTACAATATGTAGAACAATTACATAATTAACATTACGTCCAAGTAAGGAAACTTTGAATAACCATTCATTTGAATTGACTAGGCCTAAAGTTAGGCTTACCTTTAGTAATACGTAATTGCGCAGCCGAAGCTCTTTTCTGATTATTTGCCTTTCCTGGTGTTTCTCCATCTTTCTTTTGCTGTTTTAATGAAAACAGTTTAATCATCTTGAATTTAATGTCATAAGAATAGAGCGCACTCTTCTTGACAGACACCCAAGACGAACCGATCGTCTGCGTCTAGTTTATCTTTTGCCATTTCGGATTTTTTCATTTTCTCTAATTTTAAATAATTTTAAATTTTTATTATCTGTCATTTTATTTTCTATATTGTTCTTGAAATTATTTTCACATATATTTTATGTTGCAATTCTTGACTAATGAAAAATATTAGATACGTAAATAGAGATAAGAAAGTAATCGTTATAAACATGGCGTAGTGTAAACAACCGAATTTAAGTTTTGTATTCATTTTTTTAAAAATAAGAATGGTGAATGAAGAGAAGGATCGGTATTTAAAATTGGTTCACGATTGGGAAGGTTATAAGAGGAAGGATGTTTATGATGATGGAACTATTACGTTTTTCTGGTAAGAGTGTCACACTTTGATTTTGTTTATTGCGTGATGTACTGTACAGTACACGTTGTCAAATGATCATCTGTTTTGTAAAGTTCGTTTCTCCTATTTTTATTCGCTTGCCCGTAAAAAGGTTTAAGGAGAAATTTTGTGTACTATTTTTAATGATCATTAGACAAATTATTTTTAAAACAATTGTGTCATTACATTGAAATACCAATGATTGCAGACTGTATAACAAATTTTGTCAGTTACTTTAAAAAATTTTTAAATATACTGTAAATAAATGATCTAGAAGGAACTTCTATTCTAATTTTTATAATACATGTCAGTATTTTGACTTTATAGATTTTAATTTTATGCATATTTATGGTATTTGTTTTATAGTTGCTAAAAAGACTTGATGGCAAATATAAATTTTATTCACCATGGTATCTAGCTATATGAAGTATATATTTATCTTCAGTGATCTGTATTTTGTTGAAGCCATCTCAATAATTTTTTGCCAAACGTTGAAAACACTGTCTGAGTACAATTGTTTAATTAAAGTGACCAGATTTCGAAATGTAAAATGTAGGATGGGGGCACAAACCAGGTAAAGTTGACGATGTCTATGCTACATGGTTCGAGAGTAGTGAATTCCTCCCAGTTTCTACCAAGCTCTGTTTCAAAAGAAATATGTTTAAGCTTGCAAAAGTCACACTGAACAGTTTTTTGTGGGAAAAATTAGAAAGTTCTAGAAATAGGGTTCATGAAGCTTCACTGTAGATGGCAACATCCTCGTTAAAAACAATAGTGTGTACATAATTGAATAAAGTTATGTTTTTAGTTTAAACAGTTTTTGATTTCTCTTAAAAATCACTAGGAACTTCCCAAACATTTCAATTAATCAATTTATTAAAATTAATTATTGTAAGAAAGTGGTTATGATGATAAATTGTGAGATATGTGACAATATGTGTAAATTATAATTATATAATTACTTCTTTTTCTTTACAAGTCTTTAAAAGATTTTTTTTCAAACTTATAAAAATTAAAACAAAGTTCATAAAAATTGAAATAACATTAACATTTGATAATTTATTAGAAAACAGAAATATTTGTATTTAATGTTTATTAAACTAAAATATCTACACCAATATTTAGTTTAATACACATTACATTTTATATGTTTTTTTATTGGGTTGTTCAGAAAGTAATTTCGTCTTTTTTCCATGGAAAAAAACACAATATTTTTATAATAAATAAATATTTTATTGAATTATATATTGACCATTTTAGTCAAATACCTGTTGTCATCGTTTCTGGTAGTAGCATGATTTCACATTCATAAAAGTTTTGATCATTGCTTACAAAAAACTGATCCAAGTGATTTTTGACATTGTCATTTCAAGTAAATGTCTTACAGTTAAAAAAAATTTGTATAGACTGGAACAAGTAATAATCTGAGTGTGATTGATCTGGCAAATATGGTTGATGTGATAGCACCTCCCATCTAAGTTATAACAGTTTCTGACCAGTTACCAAACTTGTGTGAAATTTGACAATATAGTGGTAAAACACTACACCTGTTTTGTTGATCAATTTTGGCCTTTTCTGTTTGATGATATTACTCAATTTGTTTACTTGATGGCATTACACTTTCGAATCAATTGTTAAATTGTCTGGTAAAAGCTCCAAAAAAAAAAAAAAATTTCTTAAAATCCCACCAAGAGAGCATCTCTCTTTAAGAACATGTGGAACCCGTATATCAAGCTTTGAAACGAAACCAATTCGTTTCAAGTAATCATAAACAGTTCAATTTGACAAATTTAATCTCTTAGTGATTTCACATGTTGTTATTTGGCAGTTTGCTTCAATCAGTGCCTTTATTTTGTTTTCATTGGCTTCAACTGGCCATCCAGAACATGGTGCATCTTCAATATTGAAATTGCCAGAACGAAATTTTGTAAACCAGTTTTGGCACTGTCGTTCTGTCAATACATTGTCTCCATACATGTCACACAATTTTTTTCTCGCTTGAACAGCATTCTTACCTTTTCGGTAATAAAAGAGCAAAATATGCCGGAAATGCTGCTTTTGATCTTCCATATTTGATGGGACACAAAAAATAAACAATTGCAC